GCTGATAAAAACATCACAATAATCCACACCACTCCAGTCCATCAATTAACATCTTGTGAAGAGAAAAGCTGCTTTGTATAAAACAAATCCATCAAGACATTTTTAACATTAAATAAGTCCTCTATCCATAATATTGTTTCCTCCTTTAAAAAAGCCACCTGAATTAGGAGTTTACAAGCCAAAACAGATTTGTAAGGGAACAACAGGAAATGGACTTTCCCACTGGAGAAAGCGTTATCATGGATTATGGAGTATTATGGGTTAAGTATTTTGTCCACAAGCAACAGTTTAAAGTTAAAACATCTTAAAAATGGATTTGTTCCTTACAAACATGAAGCTTTTCACTTCACAAGACAATTGGTAGACTGGCACCCATTCACTGCAGAGGATCCACTGATGAGCAAGTAATGTAATGCTAAATTTCTCCAAATCTGATGAAGAAACAAACTCATCTACATCTTGGATGGCCTGAAGGTGAGTACATTTTCAGCAAATTTTCATTTATACTTTAAAGGGATAGTTCACCCAAAAATGAAAATTCTGTCATTAATTACTCACCCTCGTGAGTACATGCGCCATGCCTAGTTTACACTCGGGCCCAGTAGCGCCATACGTATCCCTTCTAGCTTTAACCATAAAAAACAAGGCACGGCGCTTGTGTTCAACACAATCACGCCGGATCTGGGTCAGCGCCGGCGCCGCCACACGCTTGCGTCATGGTACTGTCGTGAACGCGCATCCACAAGTGACGCAGTAGAGACGAAAATGTGGAATAAAGTCATTATTTTTGTTTTCTTTGCGCAAAAAAGTATTTTTGTTGCTTCGTAACATTACAGTTGAACCACTGATGTCACATGGACTACTTTGTCGATCATCTTGGTACTTTTCTGTGCCTTGAACGTGGTAGTTCCCTTGCTGTCTATGGGAGGGTCAGAGAGCCCTCGGATTTCATCAAAATATCTTTATTTGTGTTCTGAAGGTGAGCGAAGGTCTAACGAGTTTGGAACAACATGAGGGTGAGTAATTAATGACAGAATTTTCATTTTTGGGTGAACTATCCCTTTAAGACATGTTTTAGGTCCATTCCAAAAAAAAAGGTTAATTTTTGCCTTAGTATTTTTTAATTGAAAATTATGCAACTTCCGAGGTGGCTTTCCTTTAAAGCCGTTTTCACCTTTATTTTGTTTTTGGATAACGCTAACAAACAGCTAAATAGCTAATTAGGCACTATTTTAGCAAATTACGTTCCATTCCGATATATAACGCCCAATTTCCACTATCAAATCAATTCCCGAAGAATAAAATAGTTTTTTTTTTCTATTAAAATCCTGTTTTAATCGTAAATACATTGCTTTACAGAAGTAAAATTGGTTGCAAAAGGCAATTTGTGTTAAACAAAGTCTGCGTTTTAAGCCGTTTTCACCTTTATTTTGTAATTGGATAACGCTAACAAATAGCCAAATAGCTATTTAGGCACTATTTTAGCAAATTACGTACAATTCCGATATACAATGCCCGATTTCTACAATCAAATCAATTCCGGAAGAATAAAATAGTTTTTTTCTATTAAAATCCTGTTTTAATCATAAATACGTTGCTTTTCAAAAGTAAAATTGGTTGCAAAAGGCAATTCACGTTAAACGAAGTCTGTGTTTTAAAGTACTTCCTCGTCCTCTTGATCCAAACTGTTGTACCTCACCGATAAAGAATCCTTCAGTGACATTTTGTCAGTGCATTTGGAGATTTCCGTAGTGGTGATGTCATCAGGACAACATCTGACGTCATCAGAATCCGTGTGGGATGAGCTCTGTCCGCTTTCTTCGAAACAGATGCTGAGGGCTTCCTGTCGTACAGCGACAGAGCTTTTGAGCGTGAGCGTGAGCGTGTCGATGTGTTTGGCCTCCTCTTCGATTTCTTCTGGAATGGAAGGTGGTAGGCTTTCGATGTCCGAGTTGCTGAAGACGTATCCAGGCAAGGTGGTGTGTATTTGCGAGCCATGCACAAGCGAGCCGACGCTGGGCAGAGCGGCGCAGCGGTACACCCTGCTGGTGAGGAGAGTAGAACTGCGGGTCACTGAGGTCAGCTGGGATTGGACGCTGGCACCGCTGCTGTTCAGGACCGTCCCATAGCGGTAGTTAGCTAAAATGACGGGACCTTTCCAGTCAAATGCAAGCGTCCAGCGGAGCCAGATCTTCCGGATTTCTGTCTGGACCTGGGAGAGAACAATAACGAGCAAAATGAATGTTGTGCGCTGACTTTCTACAAAACCTTTGAAAGGTTGAGAGAAAATGAATAATCACTTTGAATACAAACTTTGCTGAAGTGGCAGTATTTGAAATATTAATGTTGTTCCACACACACTTACCTCTCCATTGCAGAAGCAGTAAATAATGGAGACAAAAAATCCCTGAAAGAGAGCAATAAACACCAGTGAGAAGGACAAGTGTACAGAAAACCTCAACAACACACATAATATAATATCATGAGTAATAGAAAGTTTCTTGCCTAACTTTATTAATTATTTATTATTAATTTGGCTCTTTCTTATACTTAAAAAAAAAAAATAAATAAATTCTGGTTTCTCATTAAAAACTAATTTCTGGTTTCACAGTTTAATTTATTATTAAATATATTTATGATTAAAAAAGCAAACAAAAGAGGAAATATATATATATATATATATATATATATATCATATATTATGTAAACAAAAACTTTAAGTTAAACTAAGTTAAACAAAGTTAAACTTCTTATTCTAACAACAGGTCTTTAAAGTGTTTTGGGCCATTATGCTTTGGCACAGTATCTGTCAAGCAAACTAAAACAAAAAGCACAAAATGGCTTAATCCCTGTTTTCGCAGCGCATTTCAAAGCAAAGCGCACACATTGTTCAGGCGATCAGCTCGTGATCCGCTGTTTTCCACACCTCAGAACGGCTCCGTTCACAGTGAATGAATGCAGTGAACTCCATTACTTATTACATGTGCTGTGAGTTTAGTTTATTCATTTTCATTTATTTTACAGTGCAGTTGTTTTAAGATATATGGCTAATACTGTCATTGTTGTTACTGTTATTATTATAATATTATAATTTGTTTGGCTTCCTAAAACACCAGTGTGAATGTAATTTAGACTGAGACAGTATACCACAAATAAAAAGAGGGTTGAGTCCCCTTTAAAGTTCAATTCACTGACTTTTTTCTGACTTAAGAAACATGTGTTGGAGCTCTTAATTTTGAACTCTCAAAGTGCATTAGACAGAATAATTTAACTTTAAAATTTACAAAATTTTCATTTTTTCCCCCAATTCTTCATTTGTCTTTTTCTCTTTTTAAATATCTCAATAAATATGTGATGCAATCTAGGAAAACCCACCACATGGTGAAATTGTACCTAAATTTGACCTTTTGATACCATATAAAAGCTGGGTTCAAGCCATTTCCAAAACTGTTTTTATTCCGTCCATAGCGTGAACGTAACAAAAGTTATGGCTATCTGAAGTTAGCTGATCACCATGAATTTTGAGGAAAACTAGTTTAAAGAGAGGCAATGAAAATAAAAGCACAACAGTCAAGTATCACATGTAAAAGTCACTTTACTGTGGTAAAAGACTTATTTTAGTCACTGTACATGTTGTAAAAGATACAAAATGACCCCAAGGAGCACACAACACTTGCAAATGTTTGAACATTATGTGTATATCTGTTCAGAAAACATCACAGATTACAGCGTGCAGGCTATCTCCAATTCTTTTCCTGTTCTACTACTCTGGATTTATAATACATAACCAGACACAGTTCAGAACTGTAAGTTGTAGTTTTCAGGGGTTAAAGCAAAAAAATAAATCCTGAGCCCCGAACTTTTTTCCGGGGGCGGGGCGGGGTCTGGGCAGCACATGCAATGACTGTGGCAACTTTAACATTTAAAAGGATACTATGGCAAAGTTATTGCTTATGAGCTATATCACCGCTTATCGACACTTGGGGTGTGACAATACACTTAGCTCACGAGATGAGACAAAATACAGATACTTGGTTCACTAGAACGAGACAATATTTTAATACTATTTTTAAGAAATTTTAAACGACAAAATATTTGTCTTTTAATTACAAAAAGTAAAACAATGCAGTTGTATTTTGAAATATTTTAACTAATCTAGGGCTGTAACTAATGATTATTTTGGTAATCAAGTAATCTACTAATTATTTTGACAATTGAGTCATCTGATATTTTTTAGTAACACAAACAGGCCTGAGTGAAAACCAGGCTTTAGTATGACTATTTATATATATCTGCGTCTGATGCATCTCAGCATCAACTTTTAATTTTTTGTAATTTAAATTTAATTTACAGGAAAGATAGATAGATACACGTCAGCACCATTTTTTTTATTTTTTTTATTTTATTTTAATTTATTTTACCTTTTATTTCACAGGGAATACTGAAAAGCAACAAAAGGGAAAACTTGTGATGAACCTCAACACCAACTTTTATTTTTCATTTTATTTGAACTTTTATTTCACAGTAAAGACAAAAATGAAAGAAAAAAAGCTGATTTTTAATTTATTTGAACTTATATCACAGGAAAGAAAAACAAAGAAAAAGGCTTCTGATGGACCTCAGCACTAACTTTTAATTTTAGTTTAGTTTATCTATTCAATTATTTTGTGAATTGTTTTTTGTTATCTCCCTTAATTCATTCCCTGCGTGCTGTTATTTGTTTCCCACCGTCTACAGATAAGCTGCAAAATGCTTCGGAAATATGAAAGTGCAGTTATTTATCATGCCAGCATGCAAAGGGGCACATCATTATACTTATCACATCACATTAGTGAGCATTGAGAGGCGAAACAGTAGCTGATCAGTCAGGAAGTCACCTGGAATGAGTTGAAGAACAGTTCACAGTACATGCGCAGCTCCCAGCCCAGACCTGTGAACGTGTGTGGCATTCCCACAAACACGATGTAGTGCACGCCGAAAACCAGAACCAGAACCAAAGTGGACTTAGCCAGCTTCCTGTACACACACAGACACATTTTCTGTTTAGAAATATTTGAATACTATATCACACTTGATTAAATCCACAATGATTAAATTCACATCAATATAAAGAAATAATAAACATGAAACTTCAAATTGTAAGGTTTATTGAGAATCAAACACTCAGCAATGATTATTCAACCTGACAACCCCGCCCCCCCCCAAACACCAAGAAAAACCATTTAGAACACCATAGTGACCACTCAGAACACTATAGCAATCTCTCAGATCACTCTAGAAACCACGCAAAACGCCAAAGTAACCAATCAGAACGCCATAAAAACCACCCAAAACACAACACAAAACACCATATAAACCACTCAGAACACCCCAGAAACCACCCAGTAGACCCTAAGCACTACTCAGAACACTACAGCAGCCATGTAGAACACCCTAATAACCGCCAGAACACCATAATAACCACCAGAACACCATATAAACTACCCAGAACACCCTAAAAACCACCAAAATACCATAGTAACCACTCAGAACACCCAAAAATACCAAAACACCATAGTAACCACTAAGAACACCCTAAGAACAACCAGAATATCATATCAACCATGCAGAACACCCTAAAAACCACTGAAAACACCATATCAACCACTCTGAACTCTCTAAAACCACCAGAACACCATATAAACTACACTGAACACCCTAAAAATGACCAAAACACCATAGTAACCACTCAGAACACCCAAAAACACCAAAACACCATAGTAACCACTCAAAACACCCTAAGAAACACCAGAACATCATATTAACCACGCAGAACACCCTAAAAAAACACTGAAAACACCATATAAACCACTCAGAACACCCTAAAACATCCAGAACACCATATAAACTACCTAGAACACCCTAAAAACCATCAAAATACCATAGTAACCACTCAGAACACCCAAAAACACCAAAACACCATAGTAACCACTCAGAACACCCTAAGAAACACCAGAACACCATATCAACCATGCAGAACACACTAAAAATCACCAAAACACCATAGTAACTAACCACTCAGAACACCATTAGAACGACCAGAACACCATATAAACCACTCAGAACACCATAAAAACCACCGGAACACCTTAAAAACCAGCCAAAACATCATATCAACCACTCAGAACACCCTAAAAACATCCGAACACCCTAGCAACCACCCACAAACACAATGCAGTGGGCTCTAAAACCAAAACACGCACAAAACAGTAGGGTTTTGATACCATGGTAAATTGATGGTATTACTATGGAACTTTGAAATACATGGTACACCAAGGTAGTTCCAAAAATATCACAACATTACTGTGGTTTTGGACTTGCCAGCGAGAAAAGCGATAAACAGCCTCCATTTCGGCTCTGAGAGACTGAAATTGAAATGAGAGCGAGACACTGAGAGTGAGAGTCAACGTCTCTCTAAAGGCTGATTTTTACATTACAGGCCAGAAATGAGAAAAGATGAGCTGAGTTTTGAGTCGGCGGCCTTTCTGCTGTTTTCACATCCTCAGATAAAGCATCACAGAAGCAGAGGAGCCCTGCGCTGAGCTCATATCACATGGAGATTGCTTAATTACTTCAAGTTCAGAGCATAAGTCCGACTCTCATTAAAAGTAAAATGCAACTGTGTCCGTTCATCCGTAACGTCTTTAATGGCGTTCATTGCCTGGATTCAATTTCACTGGAGATTATCAAACCCCTATAGGTTTAAAACACTCTCAGCAGTGGCTCTAATACTTTCACACGTGATTAAGATATAATACATATCTACTAATCTATATTTCACTTTATAACAAACTAAACTGCACATCAGTCTATCCCATTTGTATTGCATTCACTTTTTTAAGAATGTTTATTAACAAAATTAACTGTAAACTAAAATGTTACACTGTCAAAAAAATTGTATCGCTCTAGTCTTCATCCTGAATTTCCAATCAAATGGTTAGTGTAGGAAATTGTCACCATTATTTAGTTATAGTTTATAAAATCCACATCTATATAAAGAAATAAGTAACTTGTGGCTCTTATAAACATGGTACCTCAAATTATATTTCTAAATAGGGATGCACCAATACTAAATTTGGCTGATAGCCGATTATTCATAAAGACGTCTGCTGATGCCAATGCCGATACCGATAATTTGGTTTTCTTAAGGAACAAAAATCTCTTCCAACTAATGCTTAATTTGGTACATTCATATTACAGGTTAAAATTAACAACAGAACAAACTATTATATTCAACTGCTATTATTATTATTATATTTTTTTCAGATAATAATCACACTCAAAACTGAATTGTGTACCACTTTACAGCGATCTGTCACTTCACATTTAAGAGCATCAAAGCGTCTTATCAGAAGTAACAAACAACAAAGCTCTTTGTGATTCTTGGATGGGAGTCACTGCGTTAATGGCACTTTTTTAAATAATTAGATTGTGTTAATGCATTATCCCATTAATTTTGACAGCCCTATATTGAGGCACTTTTTTGTCCTCTTGTGATTGACAGGATATAATTACGGTGGCCCAGTAGTGCACAACACAACGAAATCTCAACAACACAACAGAAACAAGCTGTGACACAACGAAATGAGCACAACACAATGAAAACAAGCTGCAACACAGCGAAATCTCCACAACACAAAGGAAACAAGCCGGAACACAACGAAATTAGCACAACACAAAGAAATAAGCCACAACACAATGAAATCTCTACAACACAAAGGAAACAAGCCGCAACACAACAAAATGAGCACAACACAATGGAAACAAGCCATAACACAATGGAAACAAATAATTTCTTTTATCAGTTGATACCAATTATTGGCCGATATATCAGTGCATTCCTATTTATACGGCTTGTTGAGAATCAAGCAACCCACCCAGAACACAATGGCAAACAACCAGATACCCTAGAAACCACCCAGAACATCCGAGCGTCCGGCTAGCAACGACCCAGAACACCCTAGCGTGGTGTAGGAGTTTGGAGTTTTTATGCATATGCACCACTTCAGAACATATAAAATAGTTCTGAGAATCATTAAGGAGCCACAGACAGTAAAACTGTACTTCAGAGGCAAGTCAGAACATTATTAACAAAGACAAGAGGGATTCGCTTGATTTGATCACCGGGCAGCTTTGATAAGAGACTACAGACTTACAGACTGACCTTACAGTCGGTTCCACTCGCAGACTATTAGCCAGAGAGATCCTGTGACTTTTACCCAAAGGCAGACATGCTGGTAATGAAAGCACACACTCTCTCTGTGACTCTCTTTATTTCTCTCGCTCATGTGAGAAAGCCTTTCAAACACCCTCTGGAAAATTACAGTCCTCTCCTGGATATCTCACCAATGATGTCTAAACACTCCACCTTGCCGAAAACAACCACAAGAACACAGGCAAACAGAATCCAGTTGCCATTTCATATATTATGAAGTAACAAATGTACTTTTGGGTTCAGGGAATTGGGTACTGTTGAATTTGCATTTAATTTGTCACTGGAGAAAAAGAATCTCAAGTCCAATATCGTACAGTATAGATTCTCATATGAGGTCATGTACCAGCATAACAATAATTTCATGCACTCACCTGCACTGTTTACGTGTGTCGTATCGCCCCGCATTCGTTTCTCGGATCTTTGTGGCCAGAACTCGTACGATATTCACAAACAGAATAAAATTCAGCTGCAAGAAAGAAGAAGGAAACAGGGGATTTATTTAAAAATATGTTGTTTCATGAGTAATTTGACTAAAGTGTCAAACACATTCGATAAAGAAGTAAAAAAAAAAAAAATATATATATATATATATATATATGTATGTTTAGGGACAGCTATGAAATTACCATTTGCAGGACAATTAAGCAATTTTATTCCAAAATTGTTTAAAATTTATTTTCTACTCTAGACATTAACTGAGATGTGGCAGAAATTACAAAATTCTAATTTTGGATGATTTTAATGAACTAGTGTGAGTGAGAAAAAGTGCAAAAAGTTCCCTAGTTTAACTCATTTTAAAAATGCTCATTTCATTCTGCTTATGTTTTTCCGCTTGGGAATTATTCCATCAATGCGCGAGCTTCTGTCACATCTGAGCTGTGAAAGTTTCAATAGGTTTAAACAGTTTTTTTATATTGTGCTTTACTCTATTTAGACGTCGTAATCAATACAACATAGAAATTGTTAGTCATGAGCGCTAGTGCGCGAATTCATCCATGTGTGTTAAGTCCTAATTTATATGTTTTGCTGACAGGCAGCAAGGACAAAAATACATTTGCATTCTGTCACATAATTACAGTTCTTCCGTTGCGCAACTGTCCAGACATTCTTGAAATCGGAGCTCCGTTACTGTGGAAAGCGCTTATGCTCGGCAAAGCCAATAATTAACAGCATAATGTCTCCGTCTGCCCATCCAGCAGATAAATATATGCATGCAACCGCTAACTGGTCAATCACATTCAGTCGCAGCATGTCAACAAACGACAGCATGCCGCTATCCAAATCAACCTTTTGACACGCCCGATTACGGGACTTTGATGAGCTCTTTCAGTGTGTATCACGTTCGGAGCACGGGGTTGAATTCGGGGTTAATGGGAAGACAGCTGCGTCTCTTAACAACTGCTTTGATGGCACTTTTCACCAATATGGTGCAATTTGGCAGCCCATGAGGCGGTCCCATGTTTTGCAATAAGAATTGATAGATGTGTTAGATAGACTATTATCCAACATACAATTAGTAGTTTGTTTTAAACTTCTCAAATGTTTCTGGCCCACCAACTCAAAAACGGTTGTTTTGGCCTGTCCCATCGCAGCAGTCTCAACCTTCTTGACTGTATCCATCATTTAAATCTTTTTAAATTGTTTAAATCTGCTCATTTTATGATAGTAAAATACATTTTAAGGTCCTTACATAATGTGTTGTTTCAGACTAGTCAAGTCAAGTCAACTTTATTTCTATAGCGTTTAATACAATACAGTTTTTTTTTTCAAACCAGCTTCACAGTAAGAAACAGGAAAATAGCTGATTATTGATAAACATATTTCACATAAATTAAATTACATTTATTTTTATATCTTACAGTAACTGGTAACAGGGTTAAATGGTTGACCTTCAAAAAAAAAGTTTGTTCGCTCTGTCCCTTCTCCGTGTGCCCCTATTATGCCATTTTTAAGGTTGCTAATATTGTTTTATGAGTCTCCTAAAACAGGTTTACATGCATGCAAGGTCAAAAAACACGTTCGTTTTCACAAAAAAATTATTTCATTTTACCTCATTTCTAAATGATTCGTAAACGACTCGTGCGAAGCAGTTCAAAGAATCAGTCTCTCTAAACCCATCCTTTCCGTGAGCCCTCACTGCTGTGATTGGTCAGATGGCGCAGTCCTTTGTGATTGGTCCAGAGCCGTAGAGAGATTGGCTCTGGATTGGTCTACCGCGTACAGCGCGTGTCGGAAATGAAACGCCCATTGCCATGATGGAAGGACAGCCCTGGAGACTTGTCAATACATAGAAAAGATGGTATCGATTGTACCTTACCAATTTGAGCCGGAGTCTGATGATGAAACGGTTGAACTGGCTGATCGACAAGTGACTGATTCGCAAGCACGAATGGAGCAGGACGTTTCTCAGTGGTAAGTGTCAAGTGTTAACAAGTTTGTGGTAATTATAAGATGTGATAAAACAAATTCACTCTCACAGCGTAGGATACAGCGTCTTCTCGACATGATGTTAACCACACGGAAATTTTACTGTTTGTGGGCGGGCAAGTTGGCGATTTAGAACGTGGGCAGACATTATGCAAATGTGTTACTTTGTGACATAGAGCTGTAACAGAATAAGATTCGAATTCCTGATGACTCATTTAGGCGATTGCGAGCCGACTCTTTTTTTTTTGATAGACAATAACTTTATTTATCGTGCACTGTCAGCTTCACAACTTTGCAGATAGTTTATGTTCACATACAGCTACATGACACACTGCATAAAAGGTAATGTTCGAAAAGGCATAATAGGGGCACTTTAAGGCTCTGATGATTTCCTGGTTTAATGAAGCCCCTCCCTCAGAAATACGCAATGGGCTCAGATTGGTTAGCTGGCCCAGTGTGCTGTGATTTGCTAAACCGCCTAGTGCGCGTTCAGAAACGTCACGCCCCTCACCTCAGTGGCGTGTGCGCCGGTTGTATTGTAAACAATGGCGTCGTCAATATTGCTTATCAATTTGAGCCCAAATGAGACCCAGAGAATATTAGTGAAGAGGATCGCACAGAAGCTGTGCAAGCACACGGCTCTTAATGGTATGTTTTTTGTTTGTTGTTGTCACATACTTTTAGATACGCTGTTATTTGTAAATGCTACTGCTTATGTTAGCTTTTAATATACGGTTTTATCCTGATTAAAGCTGTAATACGGCAGAATACATGATTGCGTTGTAGCATTTTTGTAAAGTAATTGTTCATTTTATAACAGTAAGAAGTGTTTGCCAGCAAATATTGCTTGCTACCATGGCAACCGCGTGTGCGTCCATGTTTAACGCTTCTTGTAGCTATGTGAAAAATATCTGTCTGTCTATATACATAAAGTGTATAATTGGAACAGTTCATTGATGGAGTTGACGAGCTAATGTTCTGAATCAGGTGAGAGAGAGAGAGAGAGAGAGAGAGAGAGAGATATGTAGAGACAGAATTGCAATTCATATATGAATAGATTTTTTCACGCACCCCTAGTTTTGACGCCATGGCAGCAACTCTTCCTCTTCTTTAAAGCAGCGCAACATGGCTCCGCCCCCTTTGTTGCATGTTCCCGGGGGCGGGGGTTATGTAAATTTCAGGGTTTGTGATGTCACTAACCCGGAAGGTAGCTCGTTGTAGTCCCTACGAGCCGTTTTTGTAGGCATTAAACCACCATAATGCCATAATTTTACAATATCTACGTTGGCATTGAACTTTCAGTGTCGTAACTTTGCAGATATTGTTTATGCTCAAACAGCAACATTACACACTAACTAAAGTTAAAAAAGTGAAATCACAATCAACCACTCCTTTAACTAAAACTATTACAAAATAAAATTTAAATATTAGATGAAAAATATAAGCTGAAGTTAAGTACTAAAATGACTAAAACCAAAAATAAATTAATGCTAAATAGAAATATAAAAAATCGATAACAAAATTAGTAAAGCTTGAACTAAAATTAAAAATTAAAACATAAAAATGCAAAATTCCAGAAATTGGTATACAATAATATTACAATAACAATTGTACAATTGTAATTGTACAAATTGTACAATTACAATTACAATAACAATAACAAACATGTCTAACAAATAGTTTCTGTTTGTTGGTAAAGTGCCAAGCAACTCACCCCAATTGCTGTCAGTATAGGAACTTGGTAAATCCATTTAATATTGCCAGCGCTCAACTCCCAACACCTTAGGGAGAAAGACAGAGATATTCTAGTACATTTTATATATAGAACAGCTTGTGCATCTCTCTGTGTGTATAACTGTGTCACTTTTTTTAACTTACTGAGAATCTGGATTACGTACGGAAATCTCACCTTACATCCGCCAGCGTTGCCCTGACGACAGCCCAGGTTGATACGAAGAGAGCAGGAACACCTGCGATCACACAAATGAGAAAGTAACAAAAGATATATCAACTGTAATGAAGCATACAAGCACAGAAGCATGTCCGACACTTGCCACAAATTCACCGGAACAACACAATTTTCTATTTGTTTTTTGAACCGATGAGATCCAACAAGTCAAAAGCCTCCTGAAAGTCTCCTTGACCCTCCAGACCATAAATTAAATGTAAAGTTTATCGTTTCTGTGCTGACACAAACAAAACTGAAGGTTTCCGAACAATCCTCTCACCTGCTATTGGCCAAAAAAAAATATATATTATGACCATATTTATATTTTTAAATATAGAAATATAAAATGAAAAATGACATAAAATGAAAAATATATTATTATTATTATTATTATTATTATTATACATTTATGTATTAAAATTTAATGAGTTTTGTATAATTATTACATTTTTTCCTGCCATATTCAGAAAAATGAATATGATTACACACACATATGTATGTATAATATGATTACACACGCATATATAAAATATATTGTTTATAATTTATATAAAATATTCATAATATATACATAATATACTTATATAGAGTTATACATAATATACTTATATAGAGTCTATATAAAGTTTTACATATACAGTGGTATATATAATTGCCTCAAAAAAATTGTTATCATAAAAACGAAATACTGATGGTTTATTTACAGCTGCCACTGCGCATTATATGGCGATAGTATTTTAATATCGAGAAAATTACACTTCGACTTCCAGATGTTAATAATCTGGCTATAAAAACCACACTGAGAACAAGACCCAGTGGGCACTGATTTATGATGATGTGTCTCCCTAAATACTGAGTTTATTAATTATGAAAAAGCCAAAAGCAAACCTCCGCAACAAGTTCCAGCAATGTGTTTTTGATCTGATGTTTCAGAGTGTTTGAATATGAAAGTTTAACCCTCATTAGGTGGTTACTCTCCCACAAACACATCGATGCCAGGAACATTAATTATGCATTATTGATTAATATGTTCGGAAGATCAATATGCTGCTTAAGTAACGCACATTATCAGTGACTTCAGAGCTGTTGACTCTCGGCTCTGTGTCATTGTTGGTCTGTTTAAAGTAGGACAAACATGTTTGGGCTTCTCTGTCGTTTGGCTTTCAACAAAGTATCTAAGAATGCGGGAACCTTCCCAAAAGTATTTGCACATAAAAGGTGTCTGTTTGGCTTTCCTGGCGAATATTATGAATCAAAAATAAAGTATGAATAAATAAGGTTTTAAGTAAGTGTTGCCGACTCAAAGGACACCAAAACGATTCGACTGAGATTCTTGAAGGCAGACGTAACACAAGCCTCAGATGAGAATTATCATAACAAGCTGTGAAATTGGCTACGTTACATCTGGGCAGGGTAAAATAAACAATGTTTAAAAACAAAATCAAGCGTTGATTGATCTTAACATGTGCACTTACCCCACCCTATGAGAGTGAAACCCCAAAGATATTTGGAGTCTGAGAAGAACGCCATGAAAATGAGACTGTGAAGGTACAGGCCCTCCACTAGGATCCAGTAGTAGTTGGTTGCCAGGAAATAAATGAAGAACAGGACTGTGATCTTGCAGCCAACCTGAAAGTACAAACAATGCTGGCTTCAGCCAATCAGAATCCTCAAACCGTGAGCATTCAGCCAAACACAGCACGACCGTTAATTATTATGCAACCTTATAGTTGGAATGAATGTATTTACAAGATGAACTTGCATGAATGCCACCACAAGAGCTATAAAGTCCAATTAAAAAAAAAATGTCATTTTCTTACGCGAGTTTATATCTTAATTGCGAGTTTATATCTCACAAGTCTGACTTTATAACTTGCAATTTCGAGTTTATATCTAACAATTCTTTAAAAAGGTCAGAATTGCAGAGTTTATATCTAACAATTCTTTAAAAAGGTCAGAATTGCAATGTGTAAGCCATAAATTGTCTTCTGAGTAAACCTGAATATATTAAGCAACCTAAACTAAATTTTTCTGAGGCAATAAGTTTGCAGAATTGTTTTCGGGTAATATTAACATTTTGGAATTTATAGTGTAAAAATTCACAATTACCTATTTTATTTTTTGTTCAGTGGCAGAAATGGGCTTTCATAGTACAGTATATTGAGTTGTGACCGCCGTTTTTAAATTTTTGGCGTGACCAGACATGGTCATTCATATAGTTGCTACAATTTATTGTTGTTAAGGTCCACATTAGCAAAATTTCAGCGAAAAAATGTTAGTGATTATGTAATGTATAATGTAGCAATGCATGAAGCAAATTCTGTTATTCAACATGCTGAATTCACTTGACCAACTTAAACCCGATGTAAAATTTGTGCTAGGAAGTCTAAAGCGAAATTCCAGAACTTGTGGATTCCTATTGAAATGACTGGATTTCGTCAATGAAAATTCGCAGAATAGAGTTAAATATGGCCACACTTTAAATGTTAACCTCGATAACAAAAAACATTTTTCAATTTCATCAACAATAACAAAGGCGCAAAAAAGACGCATTGTGAAGATTAGTAAACTTTTAATTTAAACATGCTGTTGCTGAAAACATGACGAAAAATTACACATTAAAACATTAACAATGCACTAACAATATTTTTAGAGAAAATATTTTTTTTACTTTCATTTGAAAAAGAAACTCATACAATCTAATTTATATAAATTATTTGTACAAATAATTTGCATTTTGTGTACTATTGATGAAAAAAATATCAAAATTAATCAGAAAATAGTGCTCATTTAGCTGCATTTATGAGGTGAAAAAAAAAATACATTTCCCATCATTTCTAGTAGTTCAACAGGTAATTGTAAAATACACTGATGCAGTATTAAATTCACATTTGCTGCACTCCTCATTTTGCTGCATTAGTCCTGAAAGCCTCCAACCTTTATCTTGAAGTGAATGGTAACAAATGCACATTTAATTTAAATCAATTGAATGCACATCACTTCATTATTACGGCCTCAAGCTCATATAGAACATTCCAGGAGCACTTCAAGCCTGCAACAGTCTCTAATGCATTTCAAACAGTGCAATTTATTGTTAAAGCCTGTGCAGCGCAAGAACGAATTAATCTTGGATGACCAAAAAACACTCAACCCATATCATATTAATTTAACTAAAGTTAATTTAAGTAATTTTAGCCAAAACTAGTTGCTGAAAAAAAAAATCAATGTAGCTCATTCACTGCACTCACATACTGAGTCTTGTCAAGCGGGGAAATGGAGACGGTGCTGATGTTGTCCATTAGCATGGTGTCGTACTCCTGTAGCACACCATTAGCGTACACCACTCTGTCTTTCACGAAGATGCTCACCGCACGCAGCATGAAAGACACAAAGAGGTGCATGTGGATGTAGTTTCTGGTGCAGTGGAGACGCCTGGAAGACAAAAGAGAGAAAATTTCAGCTAATCGCAGGGGAATCTTTTCAGTTTTGTCGTTTTTCCCCTTCAAACCAGCATGAATAAATGTCATATCCGCCACATTTCAAATTACCATTCATTCTGTTCTGGAAATGGTGGTCGTGGAAATGAAATTTAGAATATTTATGGAATAAAAAGACCATCTTTTTGTCTTGCTAAGGCTAATATTATCCTAAATACACACAATTAAGTCATTTTCTTTTTGCATAATTTGACAAAATCATAGTTTTATTGGAAATTATGCACAGTAAAGATATTCTGTTCACAACTGACATATATTTAATCTCAAACTCTTAATTGACAGTTGTCTTCTTGGTAACCAAGTAAACTAAAAATAAATGAATGAATTAATTAATGAATATTGTTTGTTGTGATGGATTTATTTTTTTTTTTCAGAAATTGATATAAATAATTTACAAAAAAATATTTAAATATGTTATGTCTATTTCACTCTGTTTATATTATCAATTTAATAATTAATACTTTCATGATTTTCTCACTTTTCATATTTTAAGATTGAAAGTCTGGGGCTGAAAAAGGTCTATAGCAATAAAATGACGCTTGAAAAGTAAAAAAAAAAAAAATAAATATGGTAAAGTTTTCAAGACAGTTTTGAGTTGACCTTCATATTAGTGTTATTTTAGTACTTTGGTATACTATTATAGCTTTTTTTTTTGGTATTTTCAATAAGATTTTTAGATTTTGTTTTTATTCTAATTTTTACATTATTTTTCATTTATAGTTTTTTTTTTTTTGTAATTGTGTTATGTGCTTTTGTCATTTTTATTAGTTTCCCAAAAATATTTTTTAATTGTTTTAATTTATTCTTAGTCATTTTGTTATTTGTCATTTTTATTAGTTTGTATTAAGATTTCATTTTTAGTTTTAGTTTACTTTTAATTTTTTATTACTTAAAACTAAATGAAAATGACAAAATTTACCTTGGCTGAAAATATTATTGTTTAAATATTTTATTTCAGTTAATGTTTATTTTATTTTAAGTAATTAAAATGTTTTCTGTGGTTTTAATTTGGCTAGGTTTATTAAAAAAATATATCATAATAATCATGCATAAACGTGGAACCAATAACATCCTTCAGTGAAGCCTTTTAATTAGAAAAAGCAAAGTACAAGATGTTCAGTTATAGCAGAAACTCAGTGGGGAACTCTTCAGCTAATTTAATGTCTGAGGGTCTTTAAAGATGAAGACCTGGTCTGTAATATGTTTGCTTGCTGTGCAACCTGCTAATGAATACATGGAGTTATTAGTGTTTCTTTAACTTGCTGTGTGGAACCAAAGTATTCTGGGACCAATGTTCAATTACCGAAAGTATCCAATGATGAAAATGGCCACCAGCAGCGAGCTGAATGACACCGCATAGCCGACTGTGTACATGATGTGCAGCCGCTCGAAAAAGTCCCTCTGGAAACACAACAACACTTGAGTCATCTCATCGAATGCAACTCGACATCCTAAACATTTCCAAAGACTTCTCACTTGATAAAAAAGGGGCATTTGAAACTATATAAGCAGCTTTACAGCTTTGCGTTTAAAGACAACAACCCAACCACATCTCATTGGACCGTTGTTATCAAAAAGTAACTCTTGAATGATTTTGAAACTTGTCAATAAGACACCTCAAACTCTTCCAGCCTGTTTAATTGGACTTACTTTGCCCTTTTCAATGCCTGGAGCCAAGAAACGCAGACAGTCTGAATAATTGACCCAAGTTCTGTTCTCCACTGATACCCACGATCCATTCAAGTCGCAATGACGGTATGCAAATCCTGCGAAAATGAAGAAACAGAACAATCTGACTAGACATTGTTGTAAAGAAACTGGGAAATTTGTTCAAAGAAGTTTCGCAAGTACCGTTGTGGTTGAAGTCGTACACGTAGCTGGGACACGGCACTTTGGTGACCGTTCCTGGAGAACCTTGAGGCCAGCAAACCAACCCGTCCCATCCAGGAGAACAGACCTCATCTGTGTACAAAATGTGTAAACCACAATCACACTTCGTAGGGTGGAAATGCGATCTCAACAAAGTCTGGAAGTTACGATTCCTGTCGGAGGAAAATCACAGATGAAACTGCTTTAACATCTCAACTGTTTCTCCTAGCAGTGAAACTAAAAAGAGAGTGAATGGATTTTTTGGCAAACATTTTCTGCTTCTTTGGTTCTGGTTCCAATTTCCCTAAACAATTCCATTTCATTAATGGTCCCATTAACGATTCTTTTAGTACCTTTGAGAAAGAAATCCAAAAAAAAACTAACAGAAATCCAATTCCACTGCCAAATAACGAAATAATTTTAATAAAAACATTTAAATTTATGCATAGCAGATGCCTTTATTCTTATAAGAGCCAAGAATATTCATAATACACAATGCCAAGTTCATTAGGCAACTAGATTAGCAAGCAAGCTAGAGAAGATGAGAAATGCAGATAAGAAATAGAGTAAAAATGTACAGAGAGATAATAAATATGCATATTGCCTTAACCTTCTCGAGTCTCAGATATCATGCTTGCTTCTCAGAAAATATCTCAACAATATCAGCTCAGATTTGTCAGCAGTCAGAGAGAATATCATCATATAACAATTTCAATGTAGCAGCACTATATGTACAATACAGTGTGTCAACAATACTCTAATACTGTATGTTTCCTTTCTAGGAAAGGAGAAACATGCTAGGAGAAACATCTAAGACTAAGTAGTGACACATACTGAAAAAAAAAATTGGGAAGTAATTGTGTTAAATTGAATTGTCCTCACAAGCTGCATGCAAAAGCAAACACGACATTGCAGTCTGATTCACAAACAAATTATTCTTATAACCGGCTTTTTTTAGTGACTCAAAAACACAAAGCACCACTATATTCTTTTTAGTAAATCAGAAACATACAACAGGACCAGTATATGGCAATTCTGAAACAATTGACTCTTATGAGTCGCTTCTTTTCAGTGAATCAGAAACACACAACGGGACCAGCGTATGGCATTTCTGACACAAATGACTCTTATGAGCCAGTTTTTTTTAGTGAATCAAAAGCATATGATATGGTGAATCCAAAGCAACTGACTCTTATGTGTCGGTTCTTTTTAGTGAATCAAAAACATACAGCAGGACCAATGTACGGTGATTCCAAGGCAATTGACTCTTATAAGTTGGTACTTTTTAGTGAATCAGAAACACACAATGGGAACAGTGTATGGCATTTATGAAACAAATGACTCTTATGAGCCAGTTCATTTTAGTGAATCAAAAGCAATTGACTCTTATGTGTCGGTTCTTTTTAGTGAATTAAAAATATACAACAGGACCAATTTACGGAGATTCCAAAGCAATCGACTTTTAGTTCTTTTAGTGAATCAGAAAGACACAACGGGACTAGTGTACTGTATGGAGATTTTGACACAAATAGGCTGTTTTTAGTGCCGATTCCAAATGATTACTGATTCTGAAATAAATCTGTCTGAAACACTGCCCTTACAGTAACATATGAATTGGAATCGAATCGGTAATCTGTATACCCAGCCCTATTCCAGTCGAAATCGTGGATAGATTCTCGAACGGCAGAAATTAATTCTGCATGTGTTTCATTGCTGGTCCGTTGCTCACTCAAAACTGAACCTAATTAAAACCATTAAGAGTCCCTCGGGGAATGTCTAATGTAATTATAGTTTCTTTGGTAACCGACGATAACAGGGTCATCTTAAGTGAGATTTGACATCTCACGTTCTCAGACTTTATAACTGCGACAACAATGCTTTCATCGAAGCATAAAAGCTCTATTTGCCTCAGCAATTTTCACACATTTTCCAACATGACAACTAACTAAGCTCCACAACAAAAGATGCATTATTAATCAAATACATCATGCTACTCTGCGTTTGAAAACAGAAGCTTTCAAGAAAATGAAGAAGAATATTAATTATAATCTTGCAAAGTGAACATGATGTATTATGAAAGGAATATCCTCAAAACCATGTATGGTTTATCTTTCCTTCCGGCTCATTGATTTGACACTGTTGTACATTTTCATTCTAAGTGCAAGTATTCCGTGAAACATTGATCTAAACCCCCGCAGATCAATGTGGGAAAAGGGCAGAGTCTCTGTTTGGAAGCACCAACCGGTCAATTCCTTGAAGAAAGAAGAGAGGGTTTGCAGTGCTAAAAGAGCATGATGCTATTTGGAAACTTTATTCAGAGTGAGTGAATCAGTACAGCTAAATTCAGCATGGTGGTTTGCTGAAGAGGGTTGAAAGAAAGAGCAACAAAATGTGCATTATATCTATTTGTAGATTTCAATGGTCATTGGGGTGAGATGTCGTTTTTCACACTGACTTCAGATATGTACAGGTACATATGTGGCCTTGGACCACAAAACCAGTCATAATTTTTTAAAATTAAGATTTAGCCGAATAAATAAGCTTTCAATTGATGTATGGTTTGTTAGGATAGGACAATATTTGGCCGAGATACAACTATTTGAAAATCTGGAATCTGAGGGTGCAAAAAAAAATAAATATTGAGAACATTGCCTTTAAAGTTGACCAAATGAAGTCCTTAGCAATGCATATTACTAATCCAAAATTAAGTTTTGATATATTTATGATAAGAAATTTACAAAATATCTTCATGGAACATGATCTTTACTTAATAAACTAATGCTTTTTGCAATAAAAGAAAAATGGATAATTTTGCCCCATGCAATGTATTGTTGGCTATTGCTACAAAGATAACCGTGCTACTTATGACAGGTTTTGTGGTCCAGGGTCACATATGGGGTGAATTCAGGTCAATTGGGTCACTTTTTGCCATTGAGATGACTGGAAAAAATGTAACAGAACAGTAATATCAGAGCCCACACATAATAAATAATATTATCTTGAATATTCTGAGAACGTTCCGAGAGTTGCCATGGCAAATGAAGGTTCAGTGAGAACATTCGACAACTTGATGCAAATGACAACGGCTACACTCGAATTAACTCTAATAACCAATATTAGCAAATGTTGTCAAACAAAGGAGACTTTTGTATAGCCTTCATGTTTACTGTGCACAAATATCCAAATGAAAAGAAAATGACTGCAAACATAAACCTTTAATAAAAGCCATTTTTACAGCGGGTTAGAGATTTTAAAATGTAATATCTGGTGGGTGCTTTATAATTGGGTTCGGAAATAAAGTACCCTACAATTGGCGTGTCTGTATGAAAGACATACATAGGCTTATGCGGTTTATGCAACAGTTCATTCTGGTCCTTGAATATGATTAACTGAGCGGCGTTTCAAGAGTGCTTATCCAGCTTATTTTTTAATGTAAGAGTGAATGTGCGACACTTCCGGTGTCATTCGCTTCCAGTTATTTTACCTGTACAGAAACAATGCACTATGCTGCTTGATATTGTTGGTATTTGTTACCATATTATTTCAATTCAATGTCATAATTTGAAAAATGTAATAGGTTACAGATTACAACTTACCCTATGTAAAATGTAATCAGTAGTGCAACTACTTCAATTACTTTATTAAAGTAATGTAATTGATTACATTTGATTACTTTTTGATGACTTTTCTAAATTTCTAATGAATGTTTTCAACTGTTAATCAGTTTCAAACATTTAAACCAGATAGGGTTAACCTTACATTAATACTCAACACTGATTACTGTCAGACTCTCACAATCCTTCATCACTTGAATTAAAATGATAATATTTTAATTTTAAAGCACATCCACCACAAAATCAGACTTTAGCACCTCTTTTTTCTTTGAGATCCTTCTGAGGTAAAATACAGATTTGAAATCATAACAAGAAATAGTTTAATAGCTATGATACGGTTTTTGAAATCAAATCTTTGCATAGAAAACACTGGCAAAATGGAATTAATTGTGGTTCTGAATGAATAATTTGTTTGAATGATTCATTGACTCAACCACAATACCAATGTCCATTCCTATGCTATCTCATGATCAATTTGTACATATTTTACCAGGTGGCTAATTCATGTGAATGCGAATGACCTCACTCATAAGATTTTAGAAAAAAAATCACACTTATTTTACGAGGTGGCTAATTTGTAGGAATTCATACGAAGGACCACCCTAACCCCGCCCCTAAATCTACACGTTACGATAAATCATACAAAATCGTATGAGTGATGTCGTACGAATTCGTACAAATTAGCCACCTCATAACATACGCACGAATTGGTCACGAGACAGCGTTGCCCAGAAACAAACATGGGTCTTGTGGTTGAGTCAATGAATCATTCAAACAAATGATTTGTTCATAAACACAATTCATTCTGGTCTTTCTTATTTTAAATAATGGTTAAGGTTAAAATTCTTACACCACACAGAAACTTTTCTTAAATATATAAAAAAAAAACACTTTAGAAAGGAAAAGTAGCTGATAAAATATTGTCTAAAGCATAATTTAATCAACACTAAAGTCTTGTTTATTGAACTGTTGAATAAATGCAGCTTATCTTTTGGAACCCAGTTGTAAGTAAAACAAAGATTATTGGAGTACGTCTTTCTACTTCAACATTTGACATTTAATTCAATGTGTTACGTGATGTTTCTTTGTAACTATTTGTTGAGTGAAAATTGCTTCAAAGTAAATCCTACACCATTTTTGCATGCCAGCATTTTGGTGGTGTTTTGGAGAATCAAACACCTATCAAATTTTCTTCAGAAAATTCTCTCTGTAATTATTGAATTACATTTTTACACAAACTCATTGACATCAATGTATTTTCTATTGGCAAAATCTGTTAGCACGCCATTTGTGCTTGTTGGGTTTGAAAATATTCATCTGTATTGGATATGACACCAGAATGTGTTCGATTATTAGATGATAAGAAGATTTTGTTGGATAAACTGCAGGATATAACAAGATTTGAGCTCGGAACATGTATAATCCTGTGCAGCTGAATGGAAGAGTCTCAATTCACAAAAGCATTTATAGTTCAGTGAATTTTTTTTTAATAGGTGTGAGGAGCCATCACTGAGTTTCATGTCTCTCTGATGATTCACATACAGTATGCTTGAATCATCTACTTGAATCATCAAGTTCTTAAATCATACCTTCCTCTGCATCCTAATTCAGAATTACGCAGGTAACCAGGACGCTTTCGCCATCTTAACTTGGTATGCCTAGTCACACAATCAGCCAACACATGGTTAATGCTAGAACCAACATGTATAAATGAAGAAGAAGGGGAAAAAAACAGGAAAATTGGAAGAAAAACAATAAATGTGCATCAGCTTCTGTAAACAGCAGGGTGACTCACAAGCCGCACTACACCATTAATCTGTGACATCACGAACTCCCTTCAGAGTTCAAAAGGATTGGATTGGATGTACATAAGTGGAGTATTTTTGCTGCGGCACATCCGAAAGCAATTGCACTTCAAAAGTTTCAGTACATTTGCAGCCTTTATTTGGAGTAGGTTTTACAAGAAAATCCTATTTCAGTCTTTTTTCTCCAAAATGACATATTTAATTGAATGTGTCATTTCTTTGTAATGATTTATGAAATTTATTAGCAACTTCTGAGTGAAAAATGTTTCAAAGTAAATCCTACACCAGTGTATTCTTGCTCAGCAGTGATGATGCATGAAGAATCCTGTTGGGATTCAAACCCACAACCTATTGGTTACAAATCCAGTTTTTTAACAACATACTCCCAGCTTGCATTTAAGCTGGAAAACTGTCACCTTTATGTCATTTACTGTAAAAAATCAATCAAATTGGATCAAACAGAAGAGCCTGCGGGTGTTGCAGCTAGAATTAAAACTTGATAACCATTTATGAATGCATATTTGCCATTTAACTGAACTGAACTTCGGACTGGTGGTGGTGCTTTTTTGGTCATTCAGTGTTTCTGTAAAAAAAAAATACAATAAATTGGGGGGGGAAAAATAAAAAATACTGATAAGATAATGATATGAATTAATAAGAACAATATAAAATGCACTAAGGATTAATGGGCTACTGGATTCATGAATATTAATCAGGTTGTGTGCATTCGCTCGAACTGATTTGCTGAAATCAAAACAGGGACGTTAATAGGTGAGCACCAGCCAATGAGATTGCCGTTTGCGCATTAGTTAATCAGGTTGTGTGCATTCGCTCGAACTGATTTGCTGAAATCAAAACAGGGACGTTAATAGGTGAGCACCAGCCAATGAGATTGCGTTTGCGCATTAGTTCCGCCCACTACCGGAGAAAGGAACTCCGTTAATTTGACCATTCAAAATCCATTCAGATGAACTGAAAAACAGCACAGATCGCTTGACAGAGAGTGAAACTCTGATGCGCTCAGTCAGAGTGTTCTGTGAGTGAAAATATATCTGTGCTACACTTATACTTAACCTCCAACTCACACACTGGCGAGTAAAATCTGAGAATTTATTAGCAATTGGCTAATATTAGACATCATTTAGTCGCCCAGAGTAAGATTTAGTCGCATATGCGAGTGATTTACTCGCAATGTAGAGGGTTGTGTTGTTATAATTAAACGGAGCCAACTTAAAAAGCGACGAATCCATCACAGCTGAGATCGATATCCTTGAATCTGCATCAAATTAAATGAAAAGCAGACACATTTTTTTTCTTTTTTTTCCACTAGTGCCATCATTTGGACTCCACTGCATATGCTGAGATGCTTATATGAGTGGGCAGATATAGATGTTATATGACTGCAAGGTAATTCAGTATCTAAATAGAGCCTCAAAGCAGAGAGACCAAAGACACTTGGACAGGACCAAGACAGATTCAAGCTCAGAAACCACATGAACCAATTAAAGATCTGAGATTCTTCAGTTGAAACGAATCTTGGTTCTCTCTGGTGGCAGATTTCGACAGAAGTCCTCTAAACAGATTCTAATGTCACATTCTGTTCCACGGATTATGCGTCAGATGTGAATTCACATATAAAAGGCTTTTAAACTAATGAACAAATGAACTAATGACATAAATGTGTTTTAGTGTGAGTGACCTTCATCTTGATCCCTCATATTTCTATCAGTTATGCAAATGATCTATCCTCTCGGTTCCCACTGAACATCACATTAGAGAGAAAAAGGTTCAGAGGACCAAACAGAATCCACAGGTGAGGTCTTACCAGCAGGATTGTGTTCGGAGATGTTCTGAAGGCACTGCAGTTTGATGTCGTACAGCAGGAGAACCTGCTCCTGAGCTGTTAACCCCACTTCAGGGTCCACATGCTGCCCGGAGACAAAAACAGAGACATTGATTGTCTGACAGTTTGACTCAATTATTTTAGATTTGATTAGAAACCATCCAATCAGATGATTTGGAGGTGTCTTGGAGTTCCAAAGCCACCAGCAGACCTTCAAAGCTTCATCATGAAGAGCATCAAGAGATTTGCATTTAATAATAGAATCCTTTTGTAATTTTTTCAAAACTAAATCCAACAATTTATCCCTCAGATTTAGCAATATGCCAACTATTTCTGCAATATTTCATACAATTATTTCATATTTGTATATTTATGTCATATTTGTAACATCTGACTTTACATATATGACCTTACAATGTTAATCAGTTAAGCTTAAAATGGTTTATGAGGTAAAATCTAAATTAAGTGGCTTATTTAAGTCAAAAATATGATTTAAAAGGACTGAATTAACCTGACTACGTTAGGTTACGTCGTTGACAAGGATTTTAAGAGTTAAATACGATAGAAACATTTTCTATTGTCGGTTTTCACAAAGAACCTGATAGGAAGCTAAACATTTAGATCTGTCAAGAGTTATTAAGTTAAAAGAATTAATAAATGTGTTGGGCTTCAAATTGAAATACAAACATTAAGTTGAGGTGAAATGAGGATGAAAAAATGCAATAAATTGTTTATTCATCTTACCTGTGCTTCGACTGAAGTGCCAAGCAAAACTTGGACAAATATCCACAGTATTATAATCCACATTTTGAACGGTTTCACAGCATTTAAAATACTTATACGTGAAAACTGACTGTATTTGCTCAGATGATGTGTTTTCACAGCGCGTAAAGCTCAATGTGTGCCTTTCCTGTATCTCCGGTGATTTTATCCAGCTCCATATTTCCACTGGACAATGAACACAGCATCTACTGAAAACGTAGTGAATTGAATACCACCACCTACAGTAGAAATAGTCCTTCAGACAAACAAGAGAGAATGGTGCACCTCTGTAAGCACTGGTGGGGTGGAACCCCCTCTTGAATATGCAAAATTCAAATGAATAACTTTACATAGGCTAATCACAACATCCCTTAGCTGTATTTTTTCCCTCTTCCATTTCTGGAACTTGTCAAAAACCCTTCTTAAGTAAATCAAGAGTTACTTAAAAAATATGAATAGAAATACCGTAAAATGATATCAATAAAAAAGACAGAAATGATAAAATACCCACTATATAGCCTAGTGTAGCCTATGTTAATGCGTTTTCGAACGTCCTACCATAAAAGTTTAGTTAACAAGTTTATACGCCGCTAGAACGCTTTCTTTAAGTATTTTTTTTAATTCTCACTGTACACAGACAAATCATACGTAGCTATTTATCACTTTAAGTTAGCCAGAGTACAAATAGACTCTTGCGAGAAGCTACGCTCGCTAGAAGGTAGCCATAGTTACAGTACGTCGTTCGAACGCTTTCGGTTAGAATCACTATTATTATTGTTTTTTCGCTACACAAATTAAATCTAGTAGCCTTTTTACTTAACGTTAGCCATAGTGCAGTAAATATGTGACCCTGGACCACAAAACCAGTCATAGCATGGGTATATATTTGTAGCAATAGCCAAAAATACACTGTGGGTCAAAATGATCGATTTTTCTTTTATGCCAAAAATCATTAGGATTTTAAGTAGATCATGTTCCATGAAGTTATTTTGTAAATTTCCTACCGTAAATAGGCTATATCAAAACTTACCTTTTGATTAGTAATATGCATAGCTAAAAACGTCATTTGGACAACTTTAAAGGTGATTTTCTCAATATTTTTATTTTTTTTTGCACCCTCAGATTGCAGATTTTCAATATTCAATTTCAATATTCTATAGGCCTGCTATTGATATAATGATATTGGTCCACGATCACATAGCCTATAGCCTACGCTTGCCAAGTTGCATTAAATGAGAAGGTACCGTAGCTACAATATAGCCTACTACGCCGAACTCTTTCGGATAAGATAATCTTTTTATGCTACACAAACAAATCATAAATAGGCTAGCTATTTATTTATTTTAGTCAGAGCGTTATTAACCAATGCTGAGCACAAACAAATTAACCCTTACCAAAAAGTAGTATACTTCAAGTTTATTTTATTAAGTATATTTTTTAAGTATACTTCATGTAGTAAGTATACAAATATCAGTGTACTAGTAATATACTTGTAAGTGTACTATTTCAATACTCCTTGGGACTAAATTGGCCCACTTTCTAGTATATAAAAGTATACTTTTAAGTATACTTTAAGTATAACAGTAGTAAACTTTGAGTACACAACTAGTTTACATAATTTTTTTTAGCTTGTACTGCAACTATACTAAAAGTGAACTTATAGGTATACTGATAGTTTACTAATTAAATACTTGTAGTAGCACTTTTAGTACACTTTGAAGTATAGTCTCAGTAAACTACTCGTTTAGTAGTTTTATACTGCAAGTATACTCGTACGTTTTCTTTAAGTGAACTTTACATCATACTTTAAGTATACTACTATGTCCCTATTTAGGTATTAATTTGTATATATTTTGTTACATGAATATCTGAACATACAAAACAAATACTTATACGTGAAAACTGACTGTATTTGCTCAGATGATGTGTTTTCACAGCGCGTAAAGCTCAATGTGTGCCTTTCCTGTATCTCCGGTGATTTTATCCAGCTCCATATTTCCACTGGACAATGAACACAGCATCTACTGAAAACGTAGTGAATTGAATACCACCACCTACAGTAGAAATAGTCCTTCAGACAAACAAGAGAGAATGGTGCACCTCTGTAAGCACTGGTGGGGTGGAACCCCCTCTTGAATATGCAAAATTCAAATGAATAACTTTACATAGGCTAATCACAACATCCCTTAGCTGTATTTTTTCCCTCTTCCATTTCTGGAACTTGTCAAAAACCCTTCTTAAGTAAATCAAGAGTTACTTAAAAAATATGAATAGAAATACCGTAAAATGATATCAATAAAAAAGACAGAAATGATAAAATACCCACTATATAGCCTAGTGTAGCCTATGTTAATGCGTTTTCGAACGTCCTACCATAAAAGTTTAGTTAACAAGTTTATACGCCGCTAGAACGCTTTCTTTAAGTATTTTTTTTAATTCTCACTGTACACAGACAAATCATAAGTAGCTATTTATCACTTTAAGTTAGCCAGAGTACAAATAGACTCTTGCGAGAAGCTACGCTCGCTAGAAGGTAGCCATAGTTACAGTACGTCGTTCGAACGCTTTCGGTTAGAATCACTATTATTATTGTTTTTTTCGCTACACAAATTAAATCTAGTAGCCTTTTTTCTTAACGTTAGCCATAGTGCAGTAAATATGTGACCCTGGACCACAAAACCAGTCATAGCATGGGTATATATTTGTAGCAATAGCCAAAAATACACTGTGGGTCAAAATGATCGATTTTTCTTTTATGCCAAAAATCATTAGGATTTTAAGTAGATCATGTTCCATGAAGTTATTTTGTAAATTTCCTACCGTAAATAGGCTATATCAAAACTTACCTTTTGATTAGTAATATGCATAGCTAAAAACGTCATTTGGACAACTTTAAAGGTGATTTTCTCAATATTTTTATTTTTTTTTGCACCCTCAGATTGCAGATTTTCAATATTCAATTTCAATATTCTATAGGCCTGCTATTGATATAATGATATTGGTCCACGATCACATAGCCTATAGCCTAAGTTGCATTAGTTGCATTAAATGAGAAGGTACCGTAGCTACAATATAGCCTACTACGCCGAACTCTTTCAATCTTTTTAATCTTTTTATGCTACACAAACAAATCATAAATAGGCTAGCTATTTATTTATTTTAGTCAGAGCGTTATTAACCAATGCTGAGCACAAACAAATTAACCCTTACCAAAAAGTAGTATACTTCAAGTTTATTTTATTAAGTATATTTTTTAAGTATACTTCATGTAGTAAGTATACAAATATCAGTGTACTAGTAATATACTTGTAAGTGTACTATTTCAATACTCCTTGGGACTAAATTGGCCCACTTTCTAGTATATAAAAGTATACTTTTAAGTATACTTTAAGTATAACAGTAGTAAACTTGAAGTACACAATTAGTTTACAACAATATTTTTAGCTTGTACTGCAACTACACTAAAAGTGAACTTATATGAATACTGATAGTTTTCTAATTAAATACTTGTAGTAGCATTTTTAGTACACTTTGAAGTATAGTCTCAGTAAACTACTCGTTTAGTAGTTTTATACTGCAAGTATACTCGTACGTTTTCTTTAAGTGAACTTTACATCATATTTTAAGTATACTACTATGTCCCTATTTAGGTATTAATTTGTATATATTTTGTTACATGAATATCTGAACATATAAAAACCAAAAGAACAAGGTATCTGCTTGTAAACAAATTTTATTTTTATTTTTTAAACACTTGAATGTGGATAAGTTTCATAAATAAAAAATAAAGAAATAAACAACATTTTGAACAAAAAGCTGAAAAAAAAGACTATGAATTGGATTCAGAA